TTTAGAAATGTTTGCAAATGTATTCAAAATAAAAAACAGAAATACCTTATTTACATATGTAGTCAGACCCTTTGTTATGAGACTCGAAATTGAGCTCAGGTGCATCCTGTTTCCATTGATCATCCTTGAGATGTTTCTACAACTTGATTGGAGTCCACCTGTGGTAAATTCAATTGATTGGACATGATTTGGAAAGGCACTCACTTGTCTATATAAGGTCCCACAGTTGACAGTGCACGTCAGAGCAAAAACCAAGCCATGAGGTCGAAGGAATTGTCCGTAGAGCTCCGAGACAGGATTGTGTTGAGGCACAGATATGGGGAAGAGTACCAAAACATTTCTGCAGCATTGAAGGTCCCCTAGAACACAGTGGCCTCCATCATTCTTAAATGGAAGAAGTTTGGAACCGCCAAGACTCTTCCTAGAGCTGGCCACCCGGCCAAACTGAGCAACAGGGGGAGAAGGGCCTTGGTCAGGGAGGTGAACAAGAACCCGATGGTCACTCTAACAGAGCTCTAGAGCTCCTCTGTGGAGATGGGAGAACCTTCCAGAAGGACAACCATCTCGGCAGCACTCCACTAATCAGGCCTTTAGGGTAGAGTGACCAGACAGAAGCCACTCCTCACTAAAGGCACATGACAGCCCGCTTGGAGTTTACCAAAAGGCACCTAAAGACTCTCAGACCATGAGAAACAAGATTATCTGGTCTGATGAAACCAAGATTGAACTCTTTGGCCTGAATGCCAAGCGGAGGAAACCTGGCACCATCCCTACGGTGAAACGTGGTGGTGGCAGCATCATGCTGTGGGGATGTTTTTCAGCGGCAGGGACTGGGAGACTAGTCAGGACCGAGGCAAAGGTGAATAGATCAAAGTACAGAGAGATTCTTGATGAAAACCTGCTCCAGAGCACTCGGGACCTCAGACTGGGGTGGCAGGTAGCTTAGTGGTTAAGAGCGTTGTGCCAGTAACCGAAAGGTCGCTGGTTCTAATCCCCGAGCCGACTAGGTGAAAAAGCTGTCGATGTGCCCTTGAGCAAGGCACCTAACCCTAATTGCTCCTGTAAGTCGCTCTGGATAAGAGCGTCTGCTAAATGACTAAATTTAAGGTTTACCTTCCAACAGGACAACGACCCTAAGCACACAGCCAAGACAACACATGAGTGGCTTCAGGACAAGTCTCTGAATGTCCTTGAGTGGCCCAGCGAGAGCCCGGACGTGAACCCGATCGAACATCTCTGGAGAGAACTGAAAATAGCTGTGCAGCAACGCTCCCCATCCAACCTGACAGAGCTTGAGAGGATCTGCAGAGAAGAATGGGAGAAACTCCCCAAATACAGGTGTGCCAAGCTAAGAAGACTTGAGGCTGCCAAAGGTGCTTCAACAAAGTACTGAATAAAGGGTCTGAATACTTATGTAAATGTGATATTAAAATTTCTCAAAACCTGTTTTTGCTTTGTCATTATGGGGTATTGTGTGTAGATTGATGAGGGAAAAAAACTATTAAATCAATTTTAGAATAAGGCTGTAACCTAACAAAAAGCTGGAAAATGGTCTGAATACTTTCCGAAGGCACTGTATATCCACTAATACAGTTGTAAAGAAAATAGAGCAATTCCGTTTCGGAAAACATCTAAAATACAGTGACACCCTCTCATATCATTACCAAGCCCTGCAATGCCAAGAGCTGAGCAAATAAAATAGTCCCCTCATCCAGCTGGTCCTGGGACTGAGTTCACAAACCTGTTCTACTAACACACTGAAGTCTCAATCAGAATAAACCAAATTACAACATAGTCAAAACAAACTACATTACCTATTGGAAAACACAAGCACAAAGCTAAATGCAGTGCTATGTGGCCCTAAATCGACAGTACACCATGGCAAACTATTTGACCATGATTACTAATCAAAACCTTAGAAAAACCTTGCCAAAGTACAGGCTCAGTGAGCACAGCCTTGCCATTGAGAAGGGTAGACACAGGAAAACCTGGCTCCCTGTAGAGGAAAGGCTGTGCAACCACTGCACCACAGCAGAACCCGAGACTGAGCTGCATTTCCTGACAAAATGTAAAAAAATATAGAACAATTAGAGAGTATAATTTTCTCAAATTTGAAAGCCTTACTCAAGGTTTCAAAGACCTCTCGGATGAAAATAGGCTACCCGTCCTGTTGGGGAAAGACGCAGAAAGCGTAATTGAATACTGTAAATGAATCACTTAATCTCCAAAGTACACTTTGGCAATATGTACATTGTTACGTCATGCCAATAAAGCAAATCGTTTCCTCTTTAAATTGAAGGCTATTATTGTACTTCATAGATTAGATTTCTACCCACAAATACAGATTGGGAAAGTGGCAGAGAGAGGGATGGAGGAGAGAGGGAGAGAAATGGAGAGAAATAATTGGAAAGAAGGGCGAGGCAACTTTCTCTTGGCGAGAGTCTCAGCCCTCTATTGTGAGGAAAAGGTCAGAGCAGACGGACTCCACAGGGTGTGTGTAAGTGTGTAAGTGTGTGTGCATGATATGTGTGTGTGTGTGTGTGGGTGTGCATGCTACATTGCTGCCTGCCATAAAATGAGGGACAGTGTCTGGCAGACCAACCAACATGTCCACTATGCCATTGTTATTGTCCATTGTACGGTTATTTTTACCCTTGATTATTGTTGTTACTGATTGTCCCATTGACAATATTGATTATTATTATTTTAATTATGTTCATACTGTAAATGAATCACTTAATCTCCAAAGTATGCTTTGGCAAGATGTACATTGTTACGTCATGCCAATAAAGCAAATTGAATTGAGAGAGAGAGAGAAAGAGAGAGAGACATGAGGACAGAAGAACACAAGAGAAAGAGAGGTATTCTATCCTCTTTAAATTGAAGGCTATTATTGTACTTCCTAGATTAGATTTCTACCCAGAAATACAGAAAGAGGGACAGATGAGAAGAAGGGCGAGGCAACTTTCTCTTGGCGAGAGTCTCAGCCCTCTATTGTGAGGAAAAGGTCCGAGCAGACGGACTCCACAGTGTGTATGTGTGTGTAAGTGTGTGTGCATTTTACGTGTGTGTGTGGGCGTGCATGCTATGTGTGTGAGAGTGTGTATGTCTAGTAGTCAACTGCTTTCTGTAAACAAACGTGTCCAGAGTAACTCAATGTACAACTTAAATTTGCCACAGCGCTCTCTCTCAAATAACGCTTTTTTACTAAGCCATTTACAGCTCATTCGAGGGCTTTGATACACCACATATATTTCACTCCAAGACATTTGTTTATTTTACTCTGAGAAATCCACCCCTCTTGTGTTCATACTCGGTAGTGTGCAGAGACAACCATGGTAAGGGCCCAGGCTGTAACTAGGGGGCCTAACAGGCTGTAACTAGGGACCCTAACAGACTGTAACTAGAGGCTGTAAATACCCTGTGCCCTAACAATGGTATTCAAACTACTTTTGAAATTTGATGTGCTACTATTGGCTGAATATTGCACAGGAAGTGTATAGGAGATGTTGTACCCACTGTGACTATTAAAACCTACCCTAACCAGAAACCATGGATAGATGGCAGCATTTGCGCAAAACTGACAGCGTGAACCACCGCATTTAACCATGGCAAGGTGACTGGGAATATGGCAGAATACAGACAGTGTAGTTATTCCCTCCGCAAGGCAATCAAACAGGCAAAACGTCAGTATAGGGACAAAGTGGAGTCGCAATTCAACGGCTCAGACACGAGACGTATGTGGCAGGGTCTACAGACAATCACAGACTACAAAAGGAAAACCAGCCACGATACCGAAATCTTGCTTCCGGACAAGCGAAACACCTTCTTCGCCCGCTTTGAGGATAACACAGTGCCACCGACGCAGCCCGCTATCAAGGACTGTGGGCTCTCCTTCTTCGTGGCCGACGTGAGTAAGATATTTAAGCATGTTAACCCTCGTAAGGCTGCCGGCCCGGATGGCATCCCTAGCCGCATCCTCAGAGCATGCGCAGACAATGGTGTGTTTACGGACATATTCAATCTCTCCCTATCCCATTCTGCTGTCCCCACATGCTTCAAGATGGCCACCATTGTCCTTGTACCAAAGAAAGCAAAGGTAACTGAACTAAATGACTATTGCCCCGTAGCACTCACTTCTGTCATCATGAAGTGTTTTGAGAGACTAGTCAAGGATCATATCATTTCTACCTTACCTGCCACCCTAGACCCACTTCAATTTGCTTACCGCCCCAATAGATCCATAGACGATGCAATCGCCATCACACTGCACACTGCCCTATCCCATCTGGACAAGAGGAATACCTATGTAAGAATGCTGTTCATTGACAAAAGCTCAGCATTCAACACCATAGTACCCTCCAAGCTCATCATTAAGCTTGAGGCCCTGGGTCTGAACCCCGCCCTGTGCAACTGGGTCCTGGACTTCCTGACGGGGCCATCCCCAGGTGGTGAAGGTAGGAAACAACACCTCCACTTTGCTGATCCTCAACACTGGGGCCCCACAAGGGTGCGTGCTCTGCCCCCTCCTGTACTCCCTGTTTACCCATAACTGCGTGGCCACGCACGCCTCCAACTCAATCATCAAGTTTGCAGACGACACAACATTAGTAGGCTTGATTACCAACAATGACGAGACAGCCTACAGGGAGGACGTGAGGGCTCTGGGAGTGTGGTGCCAGAAAAATAACCTCTCACTCAACGTCAACAAAACAAAGGAGATGATCGTGGACTTCAAGAAACAGCAGAGGGAACACCACCCTATCCACATCCACCAATCAGGCCTTTATGGTAGAGTGTCCAGACGGAAGCCACTCCCCAGTAAAAGGCACGATGGCCCACTTGGACTCTCAGAACATGAGAAACAAGATTATCTGGTCTGATGAAACCAAGACTAGTCAGGATCGAGGGAAAGATGAACGGAGTAAAGTACAGAGAGATCCTTGATGAAAAGCTGCTCCAGAGCGCTCAGGACCTCAGACTGGGGCGAAGGTTCACCTTAGTGATGGGTCATGCGCACAAGCATCGGCTCTGAGAGCCGGCTCTTTGTAGTGAATCAGAAGAGCCGGCTCGCATCGAGTGAGAGCCGGCTCCCAGTTTTTTGCCCATTCGCTGCTTAGGTTTCACTTTCACAGAGGTCTGTTATGATTGGCCAGCATGGCGACCAGCATGCGGCATTCACGTGAGAATTAAGGATGTGTAAACAGAGAGGGGGCGGGGCAGACACACCACTTGACTCCACTGCAAGTGAAGAGAGAGACAGAGCGGACTGAGGAGCGTGTGTGCGTCTTGCATTGTCGTGTCGTTTAACTATGAGTGACACTAGAAAGCGAAGCAGCATCTGGCTGCAGTTTAAAGATATTGGGAACAAGAAAGCAGAGTGCCTTCACTGCAAAACGAAGGTCACTATAAGAGCAGGTTCCACCACAAACCTGCATAGACATACAAGAACTGTCCATCCTACAGTGCAGTTAGAGGAGAGAGGGCAAGCCAGCTCACCATCTACTGATCCTGGTGTGTCTCATACCAGAACAACAGCTGCTGTAACGTCTACTGCCATCCCCATGCGTGCAAGTATAACCTCTCCTACTGCAACTCAAAGCAAAATAAGTCAGTTTTTACCTAAACTGATGACCCCAGCCAAACAGCACAGTATTGATGATGAGTTGGCTAAAATGGTAGCTTCTGATTTTCAACCCTTTTCCATTGTGGAGGACAAAGGAATGAAAAACTTTGTCAAAGCCCTAAATCCCACATACACTCTACCCAGTAGAAAAAACACTTTCCCAAACAATGATCCCAAAACTATATGACACAGAACGTGCATTATGGCAAGAAAGGGTGACAAAAGCTCCATCAGTTTGCCTGACAACTGACTGCTGGACCTCCAGAACAACCTGCTCTTTCATGTCTGTCACTTGCCACTTTATTGAAGATTACAAGATGACATCTTGCCTTCTGGACTGCTTCGAGTTCACCGACAGACACACTGCAGAAAACTTGGCAGTGGAGCTACTAAGAGTGGCAAAAGAGTGGCAAGTAGAGGACAAAGTGGTGTGCTGTGTGAGTGATAATGCTGCAAACATCACCAAAGCCATAAAAGTTTTGAAGTGGACCCATCACCCATGTCTGGCGCATACACTAAACCTGGTGGTTAGAGATGCTCTGAAGGTGATCAAAACAACCGTGGATAAGGTGAAGGCTGTTGTGGAGTTTTTCCACAAAAGCACAGTAGCAGCACAGAAGCTAAAGTCCACACAGCGCCAAATGGGGATTCCTGAACTGAGGCCCAAACAAGAGTGTGCCACCAGGTGGAACTCAACATTTGATATGTTGAAACGAATGCTTGAAATAAAAGATGCCATCATCTCCACCCTGGCCCTCATCAACGCATCTATTGAGCCATTAAGCCAAGAGGAATGGGAGCTGGTGAAAGAGGTCTGCGCCGTCCTGCAACCATTCCAGGAGGTGACTGTGGAGATAAGTGCAGACAGGTACCTAGAACCATTGAAGCATTGTTTTCTCTACTACTATTCAGTCACTATTATACATTGCAAACACAACACATACAGTATAATGCATCACGTATAATATGCCACATACTTTTAAAAAACTAAATTCTAAAAGTTGCTGTTTTCTCTCCTTCAGCTATGTCACAGCCTCGAAAATGCTCCTGCTTTGCAAAGGTCTGCAGCTGGTGACAGCCGAGAACCAATGGACAGTAACTGTGCAGAAAGTGAAGGAATTAGTTGCAGCTCTTTGTTCAGCCATGGACCGCAAATTTCTGCGGATGGAGTACAACACTGTCCTTTCAGAAACTACCTTATTGGATCCAAGGTTTAAAAAACTTGCCTTCAGTGATCGTAGAGCTGTTGATGAAGCTCTTCAGAGGATTAGTGCAGCAGCAGCAGCAAAATGCACCCCCAGCAGCCAGCCAGCTCCACCATTACAGGGCCAAGTGGAGGAGGAGCAGCAAACCTCTGCTGTTTGGAGGCTTTTTGATGACAGAGCTACAGGAGATGCTTCAAGGAGAAATCCGACAGCTGATGCTATAATGGAGGTGAGGAGCTACCTTGAGGAGCCCCTCATCCAGAGAGCAGAAGACCCACTGAGCTGGTGGCAGGCCAAGGCCTCAGTCTTTCCACTCCTGGTGAAGGTGATGGAGGGGAGACTATGTATTGTTGCCACATCAGTTCCTTCTGAGAGAATCTTCTCCAAAACAGGGCAGATACTCACGGAGAGGCGAAATCGTATCAGGCCTATCAGCCCATCCAAGCTGAGGCATCTGATCTTCCTGAATGCCAACCTGCCCTGAGGACTAATGCTGTTTGCTGGAGTTTGGTTCTGGTTTTGATTCTGTTCTGTGGATTTGTTTGAAGTTTATTGTTAATTTGTGCAATAAAAAAGTTTAATTGAAATAAACAAATGTAAGAGTGGTTTTGTCACAGAATAAATGCACAGAATTAGGCATTATAAGGTCTCTCATAAAAACACTGAAAGCAAAAGGGTTTTCAACACATAAACCATGATTTTTTTTCAAAGTTAAGGTAAAATATAGGCTACAAAAGATCCTAAATAAAGAGCCGTTCGGGAGTCGAAAGAGCCGGCTCTTCTTTGGGAGCCGAGTCAAAAGAGCCGGCTCTCAGAAAAGAGCCGAACTTCCCATCATTAGTTCACCTTCCATCAGGACAACGACCCTAAGCACACAGCCAAGACAACGCAGGAGTGGCTTCGGGACAAGTCTCTGAATGTCTTTGTGTGGCCCAGCCAGAGCCCAGACTTGAACCCAATCGAACATCTCTGGAGAGACCTGAAAATAGCTGTGCAGCAACGCTCCCCATCCAACCTGACAGAGCTTGAGAGGATCTGCAGAGAAGAAGTTCCGTGTAGCTCATTTGGTAAAGCATGGCGTTTGCAATGCCAGGGTTGTGGGTTCGATTCCCACGGGGGGCCAGTTTGAAAATGTATGCACTCACTAACTGTAAGTCGCTCTAGATAAGAGCGTCTGCTAAATGACTAAAATGTAAGAATGGGAGAAACTCCCCAAATACAGGTGTGCCAAGCTTGTAGCGTTTGATGCTGTAATTGCTGCCAAAGGTGCTTCAACTGAATAAAGGGTCAGTTTTTTATTTTTTATAAATTTGCTTTGTCATTATGGGGTATTGTGTGTAGATTGATGAGGGGAAAAACTATTTGATCAATTTTTTTAATAAGGCTGTAACGTAACAAAATGTGGAAAAAGTCAAGGGGTCTGAATACTTTCCAAAGGCACTGTACCTACAGCTTATGGAAAATTTGCTCTGAGTATTTTGTCCAGTAGGTTTCCTCAAGGACAAAGCACCCACTACTATGTCAAAGATAGTAAAACAAAAACACTATACTAAATACTACAGTAATGTCTGCAAAAATAACAGTAAATACTACAGTCCGCAAAAACACTACAGTAATTACTATAGTATATACACTACAGTTTTTTTCTTACTACAGTATTTAAACTATAGTAAACTGCAAATACTACAGTATACTACAGTCATGTCCGCAGTGTTTTTCTGAATTTATAGTATTTAATCATAGAATCCTATAGTATTTTTTCATGTGGGTACAGATGGCGTGTTTATTGACATTGTTTAACCAGAGATCTGCCTGCTGTTTGGAGATGCTGTTCGTTGTTTTCAACCACTGATCCAGAGTTACACAACCTGCTGAAACATTTAACAGGACAAACTCTCTCTCTCAATCTCCCCTCTCTACACCCCACTCTCTTTCTATCCCCCCTCCCAGTCATTGCCCCGCTCTCTCTCCAGCATGTCTCTCCCCCCTTCCTCTCTCCCTCTGTGCCAGGAGACTGAGACTGTAGGTTAATGTTGAACACTAGAACAACAAAGAACAGCATTTTTGTCAGACAGAGAGGTGAGCCAAGGTTGAGGCTACACTGTTCTATTCCTTTCCATTTCAGTCTGATCTATCATATACTGTTCTATTGTACTTTATTGCACTGTATCCCTTAATATTCTATTTCAGTTGTTTTATTAGTTTAAAATGGCTTTCATAACTTACATTCAACTTTGCAAAAACGACAACTGTTTTTTAATTATATTCCCTTATTTAATTTTCCATTTAAGCTGTTCTGCTATCGCTAATACTAGGATAGAAATACACATTCTACACATATTATCTAGGATTTTCCTAAAAGCAGGACAATATCTGTGGGGAGACTTGACAACAGGCAAAACACATGTCCCAAATGTACACTGGCTGTTGCTTGGTAAATAGATGAAGGGCATAAGAACTATTGTTCTACACTGAGACAATAACATCACTTCAGGGAGGAGCATTACTGCAGGACTCTTTTTGTTCTTCTATACTATCAGTGCAGAAACAGATACAGACAGACAGATGTGAGGAGAGAAGAGGAAGAGAGAGAGAGAGGGGGGGGCGGGGGGAGAGAGGGGAAGAGAGAGAGGGGGGGGGTGAGAGCGGGGGGAGAGAGAGGAGAGAAGGGGCGCAGAGAGGGCGAGAGGAGAGAGGGGGGGAGAGAGGAAGGGGGAGAGAGGGGGAGAGGAGGAGAGAGAGGAGGGGGGAGAGAGAGAGGGGAGAGGAGGGGGGCGAGAGAGGGGGGAGAGAGGGGGAGGGGAGGGGGGGATGAGAGAGGGGAGAGAGGGGGGGGCGGGAGGAGGGAGAGGGAGAGAGAGGGGGGAGGAGGAGAGGGGGGAGACGGGGGGGAGAGAGGGGGAGAGAGGGGGGAGAGGGGCAGAGAGAGGGGAGGAAGAGGAGGGGAGGAGAGAGGGGGAGAGAGGGGGGGCGGAGAGAGGAGAGAGGAGGAGGAGGGGCGAGAGAGAGGAGAGAGAGAGGGGGAGAGAGAGAGAGGGAGGTGAGAGAGGGAGAGAGAGGAGAGGGAGAGAGAGAGAGAAGAGAGAGGAGAGAGAAAGAGGAGAGAGAGTGAGGAAGAGAGAGAGGGGAATCTAGTCAGATAGGGCACTGAGGATCCAAAGGCACCATCATGTGCACTGTGACGATAAGAGAAAGGTAGTGCAGAGGGAGGGAGGGAATAGGGTGCCATTGGGGACACAACCTGAGTTTGTTTAAAGAGGCCCAGTTACACACATGGCTAAAGCCACCCAGAGACAGAATAGCTCAACCTAGCAGCAGCCCAGTTCCATCATCCCAGCGCTGCAGTTGTCTCTGGGTACAGGCCTCAGTACAATGTGTGTGTGTGTGTGTGTGTGTGTGGTCTATGGGTCCCTGCCTATGAACAGTTCCATCCAGCTCCTCTCTGCTCTGACAAACAGTAATGTCCAGGCTAAGTGTCTCTCAGCAGTAAAGACCCAGTTTCTTACAGCAGAAATGTCAGGGTAGCAGCACTGTGCTCTATGAAGAAAGGGTCTCATTTAAACACACTGACTGACAGCGCAGGAAACCGTTTTAAAGCTCGGTGTGACACACACCAGACCCTGCGCTCAATCATACAAGGCTCCATCATGTTTATACACAGTCACATCACCCCCATCAATAGAGCCTGTCACTCTCCCTGAGTCCATGTGACACAGGGCGAGTATAGGGCTTACTACTTTTGACCAGGGCCCATAGGGCTTACTACTTTTGACCAGGGCCCATAGGGCTTACTACTTTTGACCAGGGCCCATAGTCATTTTTGGGGGACTACTCAACTAACCACCCTAAAATCTCATAAGAACAATTAGGTGGTGTTTTTGGTGTAACAGCAACGTTATACTATGCTATTATATTTGGTTCTGTTATGTAGAATACTAATTACTCATTATTTGATCTTCCAAGACATAGATTCAGCTTTGATCTAACTTTACTAAACGAGCACCATTGTGAGAAGTGGTGGAGCGACGCTCTGGTGTACTCTGGCAGCACTACACCCCTGCAGTCCGCTGCACCGAATGAGCAATTGAAGCGCAGCCAACTATACAGAACAAAAATATAAACGCAACATGTAAAGTGTTGGTCCCATGTTTCATGAGCTGAAATAAAAGATCCTAGAAATGTTCCATATGCACAAAAAGCTTATTTCTCTCAAATGTTGTGCATAAATTTGTTTCCATCCCTGTTAGTGAGCATTTCTCCTTTGCCAAGATAATCCATCCACCTGACAGGTGTGGCATATCAAGAAGCTGATTGAACAGCATGATCATTACACAGGCCACTCTAAAATGTGCAGTTTTGTCACACAACACAATACCACAGATGTCTCAAGTTTTGAGGGAGCGTGCAATTTTCATGCTGACTGCAAGAATGTCCACCAGACCTGTTGCCAGATAATTGAATGTTAATTTCTCTACCATAAACTGCCTCCAACAGTATATCCAACTGGCCTCACAACTGCAGACCACGTGTAATCACGCCAGTCCAGGACCGCCACATCCGGCTTCTTCACCTGCGGGATCGTCTGAGACCAGCCACCCGGGCAGTTGATGAAACTGAGGAGTATTTCTGTCTGTAATAAAGCCCTTTTGTGGGGAAAAGCTCACTATGATTTGCTGGGCCTGGCTCCCAAGTGGGTGGGCCTAGGCGGGCATAGCATGGCTGCGCCCCTGCCCAGTGATGTGATATCCATAGATTAGGGCCGAATGAATTTATTTCAATTTATTTGAATTTATTTCAACAAACTATAGTTTTGGCAAGTAGGTTAGGACATAAACTTTGTTCACGACACAAGTAATTTTTCCAACAATTGTTCACAGACAGATTATTTCACTTATAATTCACTGTATCATAATTCCAGTGGGTCAGAAGTTTACATACACTAAGTTGACTGTTCCTTTAAACAGCTTGGAAAATTCCAGAAAATGATGTCATGGCTTTAGAAGCTTCTGATAAATGATGTCAATTAGCCTGAGTCAATTGGACGTGTAACTGTGGATGTATTTCAAGGCCTACCTTCAAACTCAGTGCCTCTTTGCTTGACATCATGGGAAAATCAAAAGAAATCAGCCAAGACCTCAGAAAAAGTAATGTTGACCTCCACAAGTCTGGTTCATCCTTGGGAGCAATTTCCAAATGCCTGAAGGTACCACGTTCATCTGTACAAACAATAGTACGCAAATATAAACACCATGGGACCACGCAGCCATCATACCACTCAGGAAGGAGACGCGTTCTGTCTCCTAAAGATGAACGTACTTTGGTGCGAAAAGTGCAAATAAATCTCAGAACAACAGCAAAGGACCTTGTGAAGATGCTGGAGGAAACAGGTACAAAAGTATCTACATCCACAGTAAAACGGGTCCTATATCGAAGCCACTGCTCCAAAACCGCCATAAAAAAGCCAGACTACAGTTTGCAACTGCACATGGGGACAAAGATCGTACTTTTTGGAGAAATGTCCTCTGGTCTGATTAAACAAAAATAGAACTGTTTGACCATAATGACCATCGTTATGTTTGGAGGAAAAGGGGGTAGCTTGCAAGCCGAAGAACACCATCCCAACCGTGAAGCACGGGGGTGGCAGCATCATGCTGTGGGGGTGCTTTGCTGCAGGAGGGACTGGTGCACTTCACAAAATACATGGCATCATGAGGAAGGAAAATGATGTGGATATATTGAAGCAACATCTCAAGACATCAGTCAGGAAGTTAAAGCTTGGTCGCAAATGGGTCTTCCAAATGGACAATGACCCCAAGCATACTTCCAAAGTTGTGGCAAAATG